CATTCCTATTAGTAATTTAATTTGAAAACGTATTCTAATATCCTAATTCATTTAGAAATAGGAGAGCCTATATCATTACCACTCTATAATATTCAATACAAAAAAAATGCTAAACGGACTGTATAAAGGTTAAAATTGAGAGAAAAATTCCTACGGTAATATATCATTATATTATATTTGTACTGCTTTCCTATCAAATAATATTTTTTTATTATTACTTTTTTTTTTGTAATATAGAAAAATATACACAATTATTAAAGAACAACTAAGAATCTTTTTAGAAAATAAATGTGTGAGAGAAGAAAGAAAAAGGTTGGTAAGAGACAATACCACTAATGATTTTGAAACATAAAGATCAAAAAGTGGAATGTCAGATCGATCTTTTTATTCTTAATAAAATTTATGGTGGATAAAATTATAATTACGGTTAAATATTCAAACATCAGATGAAATAATATTAAGAATCTAAATCAATAGAAAATAAATTATATATAATGTTAATACCAATTATTCAAATCTTTCAATTAATTATTTGGCAAGAGAATCCAATTAAATTATTTTTCAAATTCATCATATGAGTAAAATTATTTTCAAGTTAAAAAAAAATACTTAGGGTACATAAATTTATTCCATAAAAAGAGTATTAGAGATTAGAAAAACAGATCACAAAGTAAAAAAGATTAGTATAATATTAAGAATGCCATACAAGCGTTTGAGTAAGCACAATCAAAGCTAAATCCTGAACAAGAATAAGCTTTCAAGACTATATTATAAAAAGTCGACTCTGGTATAGCGAGATTATCCTTTATAGATGCCTCTGACGAAATCGAAATAATATTCTTAGGTCATACATTACTTGCAAATATCAGATCAAGAGGCATGATATTGTTAGAAATAAGAACAAGTGGTGTACCAGCAACGATTTTATTATGAGGTCGTACAACTCACTTTAGATTTGATATACCTCTTCAAATTTCTGAAATAACCATCACAAACATATCAAAGCAGAACAATAGTGCTAAATTTATAAGTAAAGCAAAAGTGATAGTATTTGATGAAGCGTATTTGGCTAAGTGTCAAACAATCGAAACAATGCCCAGAGTTTTGGAGATATATTGAATATCGATGAACCGTTTGGTGGAAAAGTAATAGTTTGGAGGTAATTCTGTCAAGTACGATCAGTAGTTTCAAAATTGACCAAAGCAAAAATTGTAAAATCTAGCTTGCCAGAATTATACTTATGACCTCAAACGAAAAATATTCAAATGACAAGAAATATAAAAGTAAGAACAGATCCAACATTCAGTGACTTCTTGCTTCGTGTCGGAAACGAAGAAGGGCATCCAATAAAAGATGATTTGGTTCTTCTAGATCACTTGGTTATCAACCCCAATGGTAATAGTAGAGCATTTAATAAGGAAAATATTTTCATCACTAGATTAAAACGCAATTTATGAGGATTACATAATAGAAATTAAAGAGCTATCTTAGCTAGCATAAATGAATTTATTGATCAACTGAATAAAATGTTGATTGCTAAGTTTTATACTAAAAATAAAATATTTTTTGGTTTTGGCTCATCAAAGATGATACCAACAATTACTACCAAGAAAAATACTTAAATACATCAATACAAAATGACCTTCTACCATACATCTTTATTGTCACGTTCATTATTTCTTACGTATATTAGTGTGACCATATATATAATAGACTAAGTTGAAATTGATCTTTTATTGCATATAGGTTGATTTTGAAAAAAAAAAATATGCCCCTCATGCCTGAAAACTTAGATTCCTTGAATAGCTTATGTACGTACGGTATATAGAAGTTTTGACGATAACGTCATATATGTAGAACTTATGATACTGGTCAATTGCTTCTAAGTATGTGTTTATCCCTGAAGTCAACTTTCGTCTTCCGAAACTAAAGAATATCTTTCTAAATTTGAGTGAAAATAATTTTCAGTATGTTTGTGTTTTGTAGTTATAATAAATAAACCACAAGGACAAACATCCTAAATATTGGGCTATATTTACTATAATATATTTTCTTATGTGAATAACTATATGTTGCACTTTCAAAAGAGATATCAATGTCAACAACAAGAGTTTTGGTTATGGCAGAATAACCAAAGTATTATAAGGAAACATATACAAAAAACACTGTCTATAAAGAAGTGTTCGGTAAGATACCATTACATTCGATACCTTTAAACTACAATACATAATTATCTACTTAACATGACTAAAATTGATCATTTATGTAAGTTTTGATGATGTCCCTTCATTTTGAATTCACGAATTATGCTAATGTACTAATATTTTTCGGTATTTAGATGATTGTTGTAGTAATATATATAAAAATTTTCTCATTAATTAAATTTTATTATTCCTTCATTTAAATAAATATTTAAACCATTATGTGCCATTATTAACGTGCAACGGACGTTTATAGATACTAGTTATATATAAAATTGTGTTGAGCTATATAATAAAAGTGAAAGACAAAAGTGTAAGTACAAAAAAATGATGATTGTTGATTCTATTTAGCCATTCAATAAAAATTAAGTAACAAATTCTACCTTAAAAGTCAGCAATCATTGCAGTCACTATATTTAATTTAAAATTTGTTCAAGTTTTTATAATTTCATTATTTATATTTCACAAATTATCGTACTTCCTTTTTAGTTCTAGAAATAACATATAACCAATTGTAGACTTAAAAGTTTTTTTGAACTTTTATGGAAAGCTGTTTATTATCTATACTAAATACAAATAGAGTTAGTTGACTGAGAGAAAATGTTGTTTTATTTTTCAGGCGAGCAAAAGCAACGCGCTCTATTTATTTAATATATAAACTGTTATAGGAATTGTCTCCAATAATTAGAAATTTCGAATCCAGCCTCTACATTTTGAATAATCTACTTTTCCTTCGTTTTGGAAAGAGCCTTCTTTGTCTATCCAAGCACCTAATCATGCATTCATATGTTGTTATTTTCTGGAAGCAATAGTTTACGATTATAGTGAATACTTTTTATTGATAGATTCTAAAAGAATTATGTTAATGTTATTCAACATTGAGTGAAAATATAGAATTATTACTGAAATTAAAGTCAAATTTATTTTTTCAACCAAATTCCAAAGAATATCATATTTTGTTTCCATGTTTGTCTATACTAAGTTCTCATTTAAATAGGGGCTTTTTAGAAATAAGTTTGGTTTTATTAAAAAAAAGAAGATATTTTAATAATTTATATTTTCTAAAACATTTTAAGAGATATATTTTATAAAGATACTTGGTTTATTACGAGTTTTTACATGTTGTACTTATTTTTTCTTCCATAAAACACATTTATAAATAATTTTCTGTCAATCATAACCAAAGATTTCTTTTTTACTGTTAAGTTTTTTTTATAAAATGGTAAGTGCTTTAATATTACATTGATTTCTGCACTAATTTGTTATATAATAGCTTTTCTAATCAATTCACTTTTTAATCGAATATTTTTTTTTTGGTCTTTTTAATTAAGAATTATCAAATAATCCATTCTATTCCTAAATTTAAGCACGCATAGCCACCTTCTTGAGCTTTATAATAATAAAATTCTACAATGATAAAAGTTGTCTTAAAAAAAAATACTGTATGCTATTAAAAATTGTCTTTTATTATATCCTACTGTCACCTGTATAAATCATAGAGTCGGACATATATATTTCTCAAGTTTGTATCTTTTTTATTACCTCTTTCTAATTTGTATCTTTTTATTCCTAAACATATTTAATACTATATGATAGTTTTGACCTCTCTTTCCTTCACTTGAATAAATGCATAAAAGAAAATCACACAAAGATCACACTCATCTATCTGCTTTAATATCAAAGTAGATTAAGAAAAGAAACTGAACCAGAAATTTATTATTAAAACATACCAAACGTGGTCAATAATAAAAAAAATAATGCAAAGTTACTACTATTTTAAACAAAGAATTTGCACCCTTGTATTTTTGTCAGCGGCAAATAGCACCAAAAGGAATTCAATAAATCAATAAGCCACAACATAAACAACATGCTTCAGAGGTAAAATAACACGGCAAGGAGGAATAAAAGAAAAGGAATAAGTTCCATCCATACTTACCCGTCAGAAGAAAAGTTTTGGTGCACGCATTTTTGAAATAATGAGGCAATATAACCGCTTATATAGTGATAGGAGATAGGTAATTTAAAGTGTCCTTGTACGTGTGAGATTAGTTCGGATTTGAAAAACCAGCAGTAGATAGGGGGCTTAACTCTTAAAAAATATAATTATTTATGTATTGATTTTGCTCGTATATTGGTGTCACCAAAATAAAGAATCCTATAGATAATTCCGTAGAAAGGCATCAAAAAAATAAAGTGGGAAGAGAACATTTATTTCAATAAGGGAATAAATCTTACTGCTATAGTGCGATTTACCCAAACAAAAGAGAATTTCATGTAGCATTACTCCATAATCAGTGACACAAGCCTTTTATACCCTTAAGGCAGTCAATGGTTTAACTATTATTTCGAAGGAAAAGTTAGTTACACAATTGGAAAGACACAACCTTTCTAACAAAGGACACAACAATATTTTTTCTTCATTAACTTTTTAAATTTTTTTATAAGTAGGATATTTTGATTGCCTATAAGGGTATTTTGGTAATTTAACTTTTTAGTTGTAGGCTTCCTACTTTTAATATAATATAGATTAAAATATAGTATATATAAAATATACATATTTTATATATAATCAGTATTTATTTTTATATATATTTAGCAAGCAAATATAATTATTTTTATTGACCGGTTAAATGTGTAACTTGCTAAAATTTAAATATGTAACCTAAAAAGGGGACATTTGCTTAAATTAGCCGATAAGTAAGGATACCTGTATGGGCTCATTTATCGCGAGCCAAGTTACAACTTAGTGCAAACCTAGCCCAGTAGCCCATAAGCTTCATTCGGCTCCCCTCCTCTAAAACCCTAGTTTCCCTTCTTTAATTCATTTCTTTCTCTATCCCTTTGACAGAGTGAGCAGAGAGCCAAACAGAGAACGCCGAAATGGGTCGTGTTATCAGAGCACAACGTAAGGGAGCAGGCTCCGTTTTCAAATCCCACACTCACCACCGTAAGGGCCCTGCCAAATTCCGTTCGCTCGATTACGGTGAACGGAACGGTTACCTTAAAGGTGTGGTCTCAGAAATCATACATGACCCAGGTAGGGGTGCACCGTTGGCACGCGTAACATTCCGTCACCCGTTCCGTTACAAGCACCAGAAGGAGTTGTTCGTTGCTGCTGAGGGGATGTACACTGGTCAGTTTATTTACTGCGGTAAAAAAGCTAATCTAATGGTGGGTAATGTGTTGGCACTTAGATCTATCCCTGAAGGTGCTGTCGTTTGTAACGTGGAACACAAAGTTGGTGACCGTGGTGTTTTTGCTAGATGCTCTGGTGATTATGCTATTGTCATCAGTCACAACCCTGATAATGGAACTACTAGGTATCTTTCGACCTGTTTATGAATTCTTGATTGTTTTTTAGTCATTGGTTATTGAAGTTTTTATTTCTGTGTTGGATTATTGGAAAGGTTGAAGGTGATTTTTTGTTGGATCAATTAAAGGTCGAGTGAATATAGTTAAGTAATTATTGGGCTCTATAAATTTGATTGATTTAGTATTGGAATGAATTGGCTTTACTTGGAGTGGAACGGTTGCAAGGGTTTTAACAACTAGAATTTAAGCACGAAATACACTAGGATAGTTACCTGTGATGGTGTGGGATAGTAGGGTAGCAGGCACCTGGCCCGACAATGAATTTGATAAATAATTTTTGGCTTTATATGCAATTTGTGTATGGTGAAACACTTTCAGGGGTACTGGTGATACTTTTTCACCGAGCAAAACAGCTCATTAACAAGGTTTAAGAGCTTTTGAATTGGAAGCAGATATGCTTTCCTTATAGTAATTAGCTTGGCTGGTAAAGAGAATTACTGTTTCTTCATTTGCACTAATTTTCAAGCGCAAAAGCCTCTTATGTAGTGTGGCACTATTCTTTTTTTTTAAAATGTGTATGTGTGATTCTGTTAATTGAACTACTTCAACTGGAAGTTCATGTGTTTGCATTTGATGATATAGATTAACGGTTAATTTACCATCTCCAGTAACAAACTAAGTTTATCTTTTTACAGTTTCAGAGTTTATCCATTATCTTATATGATTTGTGATGTGATGGTCCCGGTGTGGTGATGGTTAGGTGTAGGAAATTCAGGTTCATGATGTTGGCGAGACTTAATTCTTCCTTCCATTCACACTAGAAGGAATAATTGCATACTTGTTGGCATAAATTTTGTTGATTTTTAATTTTTCTTTATTGGTGCCTGTTTGCTTAACACATAAAACTCAGCTTAGATTAATATGATTGCTGCATTGATAATTGATGAGTCTTTGTACATTAATGGTTTGTTGTGGAGTTTTGATTGTCATATTGTCATTACTAAGTCTCTAGAGGTGATTTTTCATTGTTACCTTTCTCGAAAAAGTCTATAGAGGTGATTTTGAAGTTTGTTTGATTATAGTTAACTCTTTTTTTCTTTTCAGGATTAAGCTTCCATCTGGAGCAAAGAAGATTGTGCCCAGTGGGTGTAGAGCCATGATTGGCCAGGTTGCTGGTGGAGGAAGAACTGAGAAACCAATGCTCAAAGCTGGAAATGCATACCACAAATACCGGGTTAAGAGGAACTGCTGGCCTAAGGTTCGTGGTGTTGCTATGAATCCTGTGGAGCATCCTCATGGTGGTGGTAACCATCAACATATTGGTCATGCCAGCACTGTCCGCCGTGATGCACCACCTGGACAGAAGGTTGGTCTTATTGCTGCAAGGAGAACTGGTCGTCTTCGTGGTCAAGCTGCTGCTACTGCTGCCAAGGCTGATAAGGCTTAAGATATTGAGTTTGTTACTTTTTTCATTGTCGTTGTATTCTGATCGGATTTGAGACCGTCTTATACTAAGTTTTGTTTGGATATTATTTAGTAAGTTTTGTTTAGGAACACCGTCGCTTGGACAAGTTTGCCATTTATAAATGTGTTTTAGCTTGGCTCTCGTTATGTTTCCCTTTTCTTCACTGATTTGATTCTTTTGAAGTTCGTTTGGTGCACCAATTCTGAAGTTGGTTCTGTTTACATGTTCTAAGTAATTTTGAGGGTTGTTCTCTTTTTCGAATTTATGTGTACTGACCGCGCATGTACTAAGCATGGAAGTCAGAATAGGGGTTGTTCAATCCAGTGTGAGACTTTGTGATGATGCTATGTTTGTGCATTTGAGTAGTATACTTGAAATGCTCTTCGTTTTGTTTAAACAGTTTCTTTCAAATTTCATAGTAACTATTTTTCATGAGGCTTAGGGTCTCGAAATGTTGTATTCACACATTTTCAGGAAGATTGACTGATTTGATGAGCCATATCCGTTGTCTTTCTTTCCTTTTCTTAAAAAAGGGTATTCTGTGAATGCTCTCTGTACGTTAAGTGCGGTATTCTGTGTGCATTCTAAAAATATAGTTTTTGGTTAGTATATAGTTTAAATGCACTAGGTGAAATGTTATATTTGGTTAGTCTTCTCTTTCTTTTTTTTGGTAACTAAAATCTTATTAATCACCAAAGTATCAAATACAAGACCACAGCTATAGCAACACGCTAAGCTATCCAGGATAAAGAAGCAACACACTAAAGCACACCTCCGAGGGACGGTTTCTTCACCCCTCAGGGAAAACGTAATCTACAAAGAGAACTTTCAACACAGAAAACTACAAAACAAACAGTACATTAGTAGTCCACTACCTTATTAGCATGCAACTCCAATAAGTGCCTTAGACCATCTCTAAACCTTGGAACTGTGCCTTTCTGTTGCAGCTGCAGGATGATCTTGTGCGAACTTAAACTCTGGAAATACAAAACCATTTTTGCTGAAGAGAGTATCAATCATATTCTTCGAAGCCTCAGGTGTCAATCGAAATCCATCCCAATGTACATGCGAAGTCCTATCAGATCATGTTAAAACTCCTCTCTCTCCACACTGCTTATGCGGATTAAAATTAAATGGACCGCTTCCAATACTACTGCAACAAACCTTAATCAACGTCTTAGTCTTGAATCCCAAGAATGCATTGATTGCGAAGAATAGCCATAAATGCCTTGTAATAATCCACATATATAATCTCAACTTAAGGGTACTTCAATCGCAACTCCTCCAACGCTTGCCACAGATGATCATTGTTACAATCAGATGACTGTTTTTGACATGATAATTCGCTAATAAATTCACTTCCATTTTTTTTTTCCGTTTCTATGTCAGGCTGTACGTCATAAAGCCTATGCTAAAGACCCATATGCCAAGGAGTTTGGCATTAAGTTTATTGACAAGTTGGCACAAGTTGAGGCTCCTATTCTGTCTCCACTTCAGGTAAGTTCGGCTCCTCACGGCTTTTTAAAAATATTGATTCTTCTCATGGTTGAGGGGAGATGATATTACTACCCTGAGTATACTATTCTTGCTTAAATTTGATTTGTGCAGTGAAAAAGTTTATTTTAGTTAGGATTTCAGTAATGAGTATGTATTTCTGCAGCTTAAGTATCATGATACGGTCGAGAAAAAGACTGTCTGCCACAAGTTGGCCAATGGAATATGATGAATAAGGTATCTAGTACTGTTGACACTGTTTAAATCTTGTCTCATCTGTTTGTTTTTCATTTATGTCCAGTTACTCGGCACCTACTGGTGTGTACCGGTAGAAAGCCCGCGTTGCATTTTCCTTTCATTATTTTGATTCAATGAAAACCTTGGAGGTGCAGGCACTGTTAGTACACACCATCCTGGCATTTTTTGTGGGACTCTTGAGTGGCTATTGTTCTTTGTTCAGCTAAGACTAACATTGTATCTTTTACTATCGGCAGAAAATGGTAAATAGAAGAACGGTTAACAATTGGATCTGCATACACTTTTTTCGAAATGTGCAAGACAGTGTTGCACATGAGTGTGCCAGATATCTGGCATGGTAAATAATAGTGGCTCTCTTTAAGGAATAAATGAAAATAAAACTTCTTATCTCTTTAGCACAAGTTAGCAATATGTGGTGGCTAATCTTTTTTTATTTCTTTACCAGGTGATCTGAAGCGAATTTGTGAGACTGAACTATGAGTTCTCGCGCAATGATGTTTGACAAAACATGTATTTAAGATGAGCAAACAGTATCTAGCCAATGTAGCGTTGAAAATAAATGTGAAGGTGGGAGGAAGAAACATTGTTCTTGATGCAATAACGAGGCGAATTCCCCTTGTTAGGGACTGTCCTACGATAAATTTGGTGCAGATGTCACTCACTCTCACCATGGGGAGGATTCTAGCCCATCCATTGCCGCAGTATAGGAAACTTAATGACAAGGCAACAACATGCCTACCAGCAAACTGAATTCTCCATAGCAAAAATTACTGGGGTAAGAACAGGAGTGACTCCAATTCAAAGCTTCTCCTAAGAGAACATACAGAGTAATCCAGCTCCAGTACATTATGCTGCTGCTGCATGATGATCTTGTACGTACTTAAACTTTGGAAATACAAAACCATTTTTGCTGAAGAGAATATCAATCATATTCTTCGAAGCCTCAGGTGTCAATCGAAATCCATCCCTAATGTATATACGAATCCCTTCTGAACACGCTACAACTCCTTTCTCTCCACACTGCTTCAGAGGATCAAAGTTAAACAGACCACTTCCAGTACTACCGCAACAAACCTTCATCAACGTCTTAGTCTTGAATCCCAATAATGCATGATTGCGAATAATAGCCATGAATGTAATAATCTGCATATATGATGTCAACTTTAGGGTTACTTCAATCGCAGCTCCTCCAACGCTTGCCACAAATGATCATTGTGCAATGTTGCAAACAAATTTAGTCCTTTGTGACATATAATTTTTCTGCTATTGTTGTTCTCGGGACATTATTCAAAAACCAGGCGGGCAACCCATGGGAATAATTCCAGAAACCACATAGTGTTTGGCCTATGCATCTTTGATCAGTTGTTCGATAGAACTCTTGATTGTGTCCACAACATCTGGGACAAGCTTGGACACTTCGGAAATAGATTTTGTATGCAAAAGAGAGAGTTTGTAATCATTAAAACCAGGCTGATCCATATAGATGCTAGCTTTTTGAAGAACCTTGTTCCTGTCGCAGTCATGAAAAGAGAAGCAATCATTATAGAAGAGTTTCATGAATGCTGAAATCTGCGAGTGATGAGACTGCAGAGGCGCTGGGATGCCATTCTTGATGAAGGAAAAGGGACTCATAACTGTTGCTTCAGGCGTCATGAAACTAACACCAAACTCGAACTCAATGCGTTCTTCGGTGTAATGTTGTAGAAAAGGAAAACCAAGTACAACACCTAAATGATCAGAAATAGAAGCAGAATCAGTCTCCGAAGCTGTAAATGGAACAAAAAAGGGAAGATTCTTGCTGCTCATTGGCGGAAGAAGGAGAAGGAGCGAAAAAAGAAATAGGAGATCACTAATAGCAAGATGAAGAAACAATGGTTGGTAAGGGAAGCCAGAGAAGAAACAACAATCATAAGCAGAAGGCACGGGAAAACTTAGTTTAGGTTAGTGGTAGTATTTATAGAGGTCCTCATCCTTGTAATTTAAGCAAGGTTATTGTTACCTAGTAATAATAGGAAACCCATACTTATAGAAATCAAATTATCATATTCCAATGGCATGTTTCCATATTTTCTTTATCTTTTTTTTCTTCTGCTTCAAGTTTCCTTTTTCCTATTACAGAAATTTTAGAATTGCCTTGATTAACAAGTATTATAATTTATGTATGGGTTTATATATTTTTGTTGAATGTTTCTTTTTTAAATCTGAAGCAGAATTCAAATCTATGAGACAATTTTCATATTTGTAATTTAATTTCTTCTAGTCTCATTTTATAATGATAATAGTATGATACTTGGCCGCAAACCGGGTGCATACAATAAAACGATAAATGTATTATGTCTGTCTTTTACATAAATATCGCTTGATGTGGTTGATTAATATGTCTTTGCGGTACTCGTCCAACCAACCGCAAGTAAAACTCATGGAGTATGTCACTCGGGGATCCTTATAGGAATCACAAGCTTCAAAATGGCATAACCATGTACCATAGTAGTCGATATTCCGTTGAAGCGGCAAAACAACCAAATCATAAAGTACTCGAAGCAACAAGCCATCTCCCGGTGGGTACCGTTTCACTTTTTGTGTTATAATTTCTCCGAAGAAAGTTTGTTGTATGAGTTCATCAAGCACAAGAAATGGCAGCTGATTTCCAGCATAAAGTATTAATTTTAGGAAAAGCTTCTCCAACCTCTGTGTCTCACTTTAAACACATTGCCCGGGAAGTAACTTAGTTCATTTGCCGGTGCACCTAGGTGATCCAAGATCGCTATCAGGAAAAAGCAAGCACCTGTGACTAGACATTGCATGTTTTTATTCACCTCGTGAGCCCACTAAAATTAATAGTCTAAAGCCAAATTTTAATAAGAAGCTTTAGAATCCATATTATTTTTTCGTACTTATAGTTTATAGTATAATATTCTTAAATGACATAAGACCTTTAACTTTGCATAGGAATACTACTATTTATATTAGTAAGGGGTATTTTAAATAAACAAGATGTACGGCATATATTTACAATATATTTCTTTTGATATTATTGTAAGAAATTGTATTTACTAATATGAAAACTTAAGTAATTTAATTTAAAGTTCTAAAATATTTATTGTTAATGTTACAAAATGAATATAGACTACTTTTAGTGCTATATACATAGTCTAGGAAACGGGACATTGAGATTATTGGGGAAGAGAAAGATGAGGAAAGAGAGAAGGGAAAAAGTAGTGCATCGGTGAGGTGGTGGTGGTCAAGGTGGAGGGGGTGGCGGGTGGCGTGCATGTTATTGTAAAGGAGAACAAAAGTAAGGATTGAAATATTAGTTTAATATTTATCTTTTCTTTTTATGTCTATTTATGTTTTCTGATTATATTTTTGTTTTGAAGAAAATTATCAGTTGACG